AATTGCTTTCTGTTATCCGAAATTACTTTTAGTGTAGTTCCATATTTCAGAACGTATTTATTTAGAAAAGAAAATGGAGCAATTTTTTCCAAGGCTCTTTTTAGTGGAGACTGTTTCTAACCACATAAAAAAGTTATCCACGATAACAAGTAAATATCTATTTTTATTGACTTCACTACATGGATATGCTCTTAATAAGTCAATTCCTATTAATTCATTTGCAAAAGTAGCTTTTACACTATTTAAATATTATTTAATATTTATTTTTAAATACCCTGGCGGGCTATTATTTACATTTTAACTAATTGTCACGACTTAACATATGAACTAACAAACTAATGTAGCTGTGGAAAGAAACAAGCTCGTAAACTTGCTGTACGTTTTTCCTTACTCCAAGGTGGTCTGAAATTGTCGAATTATGCAGTTACTGCAAAATATTAAACTAGCTGGGATAACCGATCCAAACTCATTATTCTCATTAGTAGTTTTGCACAAATAAAATGTTAATGACTGCATAATTCACGACTATCTTCCTGACTACCGTAATATCCTGATGCTCAGAATGAACAGGTCCCTTTAAGTAAACATAAATATCTTGAAATTCGGGGTCCGTTTGTTATTCAGCAATAATAGTTTCACGAGAATCAAGGTTTTTGTTGTTAACATAGCATATTTTAACATGTTCCCCTCCTCAGCTAATTGTATTCTTGTAACGCATCGGCTTCTACGTAGTGCTTCCGAATTATAGGTTTAATGATTAGGTTGAATTCTTCAAGTATCAGGGCCCATCTAATAAGTGTTGGCAATGAATTCTTTTCGGAGTGCGAACGACCCGCAGCTGCATGATCCGAATATACTGTAACAGAAGCGTTCCCAAAATTTGCTCTAAATGTTTTAACTGCAAACAAAACTGTTAGGGTTTTTCTTTTCGAAGGCATCCGTAGCGATTTTCAAGTTCTCATTGCCTTCAGGGAACTTTAATATTGGTGCTTGAATTAAAGCTTGTTTCAAATTTTCTAATGTTGTTTTGCTTTGGCCGAGTAAATATGGCTTTCTCCTTTTTTACTTCCTTGTACGAAGTAAAAAGGAAGTATTGTAATTGCGAAAAGTTTCAGGCAGCATATTTCAAAAAATAATATCCATTTTGACCGATATCGAATGCAATTTAACCATGTTTTTGCGTGATATCTGTATGAAAGACAGAATAAAATACTCTTTCCTCAAAAAAATTATAAAAACTGCTTTAAAAATAATTCTGAAGAATTTTTTGTGGCGTCTGTACGAACGTATGTACGTACATATATCGCATAACTCAAAAACGAGAGCCGCAGAACGTTGAAATTTTGTATTAGGACTGCATACATGTAGATTCACCTCGTATTTGGTTGCAATCGGCCGCACCAAACGAATACAAATATATTTATATATACATCCACTCTGTTACCGGCTCAGTATCTCAGTTTCTTACTCTTAATGTTTGTAAATTGTACATTTTTTGCTTTAAAGATGAATTATGTTTTTTATTTTTCGGTTAAGGTTTTATACCTTTAGTAAATCTTTTGCAATATTTTTAGAATTATCAGCAAATTAAAGTTGTTTAAGTGCCGCTAAGCTTTTTTTATGGCGGCCATTGATGTTTACATTTGAAACACAGACTAGTGGATTTGTTGCCAATTTAGAGAAACTTAGCTTCGCAACAACAAAAATAACGTTCATTTATTATTGCCAATTAAATCATGCTTAATCCTTTCTGGAATTTTTCGAGGAAATAAGTGTTAGATTTACTTCGTAATTTTAGAGATTTTGAGCTTTTTGTTTTTGCTTCTCGCGAAGTAGAACTGAATTAATTGAATGAGAAATACTCAATCGTCTGTGAAAAACTGTTCTTTTTTGTTTTTAATTTCTTTGAATATTCTAGCTTTTATAGTATTTGAATAGAACATGTGGCAACGGTTAGATAATTCTATTAAAATGATATAAATTTGTGCATTATGAGTATAATATGAACGAAATATAATACTGTTAAGTGAATTACGCGAGTTTCTATGGTAAACAAAGAGTGAATTTTAAGAATGCATTTATCTATTGTGGTTATGCGCTGTCGGCGAGTAGATTTAATTCAATCCAATAAGTTTAAATGAAATGCAAGAAAAAATACGTATAATTTAATATTCCGTATAAGGAAGTCATGTGGTGTACACATCAGATTTTTTGGCTATTACAAAAGCTCAGTTATTTTAACAAAATATTTGATAAAAGTCCTATAATACGAACACATGCCTAAAACTGAAAATAACTTCTTTACAGTATTAGGTGGAGGGTAATTTTTAATAGCTATTGTTTTTTAATTTTCTGTTTCACTTCCAAATTTTGATAATTTATAGCTCCTAAACAACGAAGTTCCATGGCCTCAGATTTGCATTTTGAAGCATATACTTTTAATCCTACTTTGCTTAAAAGTGGAAACTCTTCGCGTAAGTCTTTAAAGTATTTGTCAATCGTCTATTGTAGGGGTTTTCAACCCGTGGCCCGCTGAAGGCATTTTAGTGGCCCCACATTTGAATTTGAAGAAAAACTGAAGAATTTAATAAAAAAAATTGATTTCAAGAAAGATTGCCTTGTCAACTTTTTGTCGCAAAACTAATGTTTTCCTCTTATTCTTGATTTAAAACATTTATTGACATGCCTATATTATTGGATATAATTTTCTGAAAATGACGAATTTTAGGCAGTTGCTTATTTGCAACGACAGTGTAGCTGTAATGAAGGACTACGACATTAAGATACTAAGCACGGTGAAAAAATATTCTGCATTGGAAAGTCATTTTCGAAGTGATAAGGTGAGTGAATTAAAATCAAAACTAAATTTTCAGCAGTCTTTCTTCACCACAGCGAAACGAATGGAAATATGTTCGTGTTAGTTGCATGATAGTAGAAAAATTGCTAAGCGCTGAAAACCCTTTGCTTATGTAAAATTTGCAAAATTATTTGCTTCAGATTTCAATTGATGTACTTTTTTCGTCACAGGCTCAAGCCATATCGAATATTATCTTGTCTGGTGTGACAGTAGCGAGGCACATAGAGGATCTCGCAACAGATATATTCAGTAAATTAAAAATCTAAATCAAAAAATTCGAGTTTTATTCTGTAGCGATGGATGAATGAACAGATGCAACAGATACTGCACAAGCAGCCATTTTTATTCGTGGCATTGATGAAGACTTCATAATTGTAGAGGAATTATCCAGTGTCATTACACTTAAAGGTACAACCCGAGGAACAGATTTCTATTCGTGTCTGACACGAACTTTGGATAAGTGTAAAGTTGATTTCAGTAATATGTCTGCTATAACCACGGATGGTGCTAAATCAATGACTGGAGAGAAAATAGGAATAACAACATTACTCAAATCTGATGTGAAGGAAAATGGATATAATACTATGATGACTTTCCACTACAATCATCCACCAAGAAAATTTGTGCAAGAAGTCCTTCTCAAAATTTGAACATATGATGAATGTTGTTGTAAAAGTCATTAATTTCATTCGGTCTAAAGGACTTAATTACAGGCAATTTCAACAGTTTTTGAGTGATTTGGAAGCTGAATATGGTTATGTTGTGTATTACGCGGAAGTATTTTGTTTGAGCCAAGGAAAGATGCTTCAGCGCCTGTTTTCTTTGAACAGCGAAGTTCAACAATTCATGGAATCTAAAGAGAAATATATTCACGTTTTCAGTGATGAGAAATGGTTGAGAGACTTTGCATTTCTTGTCGATATTACAGGTCATCTCAAGGATTTGAACTACCGCTTACGGAAGGACTACTTTCATATCTTTATACGTGGAAAGCTTTCGAGAAAAATATCCTGCGGAAAGTCGTGCAAATAGATCACTCACTTTCCAAATGATGGAGTTGTGAAGAACTTACAACATGATTCAATATATATACAAGCATTTAATTTGAAAGGAATTCAAAAGCAGATTTTCCGATTTTCGTGAAAATGAAATTTTTATCTGAATGTTCTCCTCGCCATTTTCAGTTTAGGTGGAAATGTTTCACCTGAACTTCAATTAGAATTTATAGATTTAGTGTGTGACTGCAGTAAAATACAAGATTCTTGAAAATCTTATATCACTTTATTTTTATTCGAAGTACGTGATGGAAAACAAGTATTCAGGAATTCGTAAACATGAAATCTTCATGTCTTCTGTATATGGCAGTTCCTTTATATGTGAACAGATTTTTAGTAAAATGAAAATTCTAAAATCAAAAACAAGAACACGGCTGACAGACAGACATTTGGAGGAAACTTGTTGGAACAACTATATTTCACCGTACAAATCATGAAATAAAAAGAAAGGAAGACTTCGAGAAAGTACGTTTTTTACAGAACTCGTAGCGCCTTTTTTTTAAAATTTATTTTATTACAGTTCAGTAAGCAGGGAAAATAACTATTTTGATAGAAATCCATCCCTTTTCTAATAACTGTCGCCCTGCGCAATAATTGAGTGTTAGGTTTATTTCGTAGTCTATGTTTCTATGTGAATTAGTTTTTAGAGTTCAAAATAATTTTTAGAGTAAAAATTTATACCTAATTGTGGATATTGTTATTTACTTTAGTCTTTTAATATTGCATAGGAAGTATAAAAGATTTTACCCTTTATTTTGGGGAAAGAAATTACGAAACCTTATTTGTGCACTTTTTTAATGTAGAAAATAAAGCCACAAAAATATTGCATCTTTGAATAAAATCTATGCCATGTATTTATAAAGTAGTGAATGCAATATTAAACAGCCTCTAGCAAACAATACTTGTTTATTTTATTACATCACACTGCAGTGTCAAGGCTAGTGTTATTTTCGATTCAGGTAGGGGATTGTTCAGGGAGAACAGGTTTTGCTGCATTCGTTATTCGTAACTGAATCAGATTACTACTCAGTCAGAATCATTGATGATGTTTTCTGAATTACGAAACCACAGTGAGCTATATGACAAAGCACTGCATAGCCAAGGTAGACTGTTTTTTGAAGGAGAGTCGAAATACGAGGTTATTCTTATTTGTTTTACTTTGTGAGAAAATTCAACTAAACATTTAAACATTATACTCGGTGATGGAGATCACACTGGTGCTCATCATGTTAATACTCCTAATGGGAGTGCTTGTCGTTACTGCTTTTCTGGTGGTTCTCCTGTGGTTTCGCATATCCAAAACAGCCAATAACTACTCAAAGTTTCCTTCATATGGTGCAGCAAATCCCCTTTTGGTTTTTTGGCAATATTCTCAGCAATCTCGAAATTCGAGTTTAGAGCAGATTCCGTTTATTACGAGTAAGTAGCTCGTTGATGATAGTTCTTTTATAAACTTAAAATTTCCTCCAGTTTGAAAAGTGTATAAAACCAGTTTTTCCCCTTTATTACATGACTTTGTCTAACATAGTTAAGAAGAAAAGTACAATATACATTTTATACGATTTATTTTAATCTAGTATGATTCAAGCCGCTCTGCTTAAGGGAGCTGCATCTGATTTCTTAAGAATATTGGAGATAATTTTTTTGGAATTTACAATCTTAATAAAGTTATTAGTCATGGCAAAATTTTTTAAATAATTTTGACTTTGAAAAATGCGCTATTTGAACACCAAATCATCCCCTTTTCCGACAAAAAACCTAATGTAGCTTAAATGTTTAAATGCTTTTCATAGTTTTTCTACAAGTCAATAGAAGTTCTTCTTACTGTTATTAATCAAAATTTAAATTTAATATAATCCAGTTTAAACCGTTAAAAGCTTTAAATGAAAAGTCAAAAGGAATTTTATATTTTTAAAACTAAGATATGATTACGAAATAATCCTAAAAATCCCAGTTCATTTAAATGAAAATAAGAGAAACTGTCTTTTTAATTTCAATATATGGACGTCATGTTTCGTCTGCAATTTTTGAATTAATGACACATTATTTACTGTATAGAGGATAATTTTTAAGGTACCATAACTGAAAGTTTAAAAAATATAAATTCCTATAATTAAAAATATTTGATTCAATTAAATATATTAGTATGATTTTTTTAAACAATTTTTTATTGTGTTTTTAAGTCTGTAACCTATTTCCTGTGTTTTCATATTCACTCTACATTTTTATACGCCGTCCAACCGGTGTAATGGTTAGCGTCGCTGAGTGCCGTACCGAATCCTAGAGAAGGCATGGATGTTTGTAAATGTGTAGTGTCCGTGCGGCATGGGGGCACTCTAAATATGCGGCGAGCCGACAGTAATCCCAAGAGGTTGCCGGTAGGAGAAGAAGAGTGGACTCTTCCCCCCGGACCTACCCTTAGAGCCGTCCTCCGGGGTGCTCTCTATGAAAATTGGGTGCAGAACTGAGCTAAATCGCACTGTCCCCTGTAAGGTGTTCAAGGCTTTGCCAAAGACAGGAGTAAACTTTGACAAGAGTATTTTCATGGACTTGGGTTGATTATAGGTTAATTAATGACTAATGTTGTTGCTAATATAAGTATTAGCAACAACATTTTCATTCTTCTTTTTTTCTTTTGCAAATGTTATTTTTTTACTCCAGCGCACTTAATCATTACAAAAATACTATGAATAAGCAAAATGTTAATTATTTCCCAGTAAATCAATTTTTTAAATAGTTATGATTAGTTTTACATATCATTTTATGCCTAATTTTATCAGACATCTAGAATATCGGACCAGTATTTAAACTTAAAATTTTATTAGAGTGGTTAAGAGTTTAAGCGAAGTGTCTTTCATACAGAAGTTCTAGATTTATGGCACGTTTCAGATATAAACTTCCTACATAACGTTTACTCGAAATTTGTTTTCTTTACCTTCCAGAGCTCAAAATATAATTTTTAACCTGAAATTTCTTCAGCAATACACGATTTCTACTTACTCTTGTTTAATATCAATCTGTTCGCTTTTACTGAATTCCTTTTGCAATTTAGTTAAAATATATGATGTTGTACACCACATAAATTCCTTAAACGGAATATTAATCTGAAGGTTTTCAGATTTTAACTGTCTTTAAAAGGCTTTGTTGAGGTTTTTATGTTCTTAGGGAACTCGAAGTATGAAAGTCTGCTGTTACACTCACTCCTACTAACACATTTTTTTTTGTCTTTTTAGCTTTATTATTAAGCAGCATTTTCTTCTCCCTTACGCAAACAGCAAAATTACAAAAATTTTTAAAGCAGTATACGTTTAGATTTCCCGTTGCAGCGTAAAGTATTGAAGTACATTTCTGTTTTTTTTCAGTCTTTTCTCAATTCATAGTATATCAATGTTCAGTTTTTCTTATTAAGATGATTTTACAAAAATTTTTTGGTCTGTTTTTTATAAACTTTTCTACTTTTTGACCCTTACACCATGCAAAATTCATTTCAAGAGCAAAATCACAAAATATATTGAAACAGCATCTGTGCTATTAAAATCTGTGCACGTCTATCTGTTTATGTGCTCGTTAGTTTGTTTGTAGCACTATATCCTCAGGAACAGTGGGGAATTTAGTTTGAAGATATGTATCCTCCGGATTCCAAAATTTTGTAGGAAGGTGTTCGACCATTCTCATCTTCCTATGATTTTAAGCAGACGATATATTAATTAAATACTCTGAAAATGCTCATTTTCGCCCTCATATTTTCCGGGTAGCAACAGTTACGCATACTGAAGATAAAAATCTGTTTTATTTCAAAAAGTGTTGCCATTAATCGCTTTCAAATGACAGAGTTCGTTAATAAAAAATTTATACGTTTTACAAAGTATGAAGAAAAAATAAAATTGCCAAACATTAAATAAATTATTATTGAATAATATCATATTCTGACGCTGAAGAACGCGTGCGATTACATGTGACGTCACTGCTAGGTGAAAAGTTTTCGTTAATGTCAGCATTTTAAATACTAGCTGCTGTTGGCAACATTTTTGTTTCAGGTTACGATAATTGACACGATATGCTATTGCCACGTTGATTCTTTTATTGATATTAAGAAAAAGCTGTTATATTACATTTAATTTAAATCATGACGTCATACGTGATCTGAAATGCTTTTGTTTCCTGGTTTGAAAACAAGAAAGAACTTACTTAAGAATTGGTTGTTGCTTGGAAAAGAATGGATTGATTTCATTCATACTGAAATGCATCAATGCATTTCCTTTCAGGTGTGCATAGAATGTATAAATTTTGCTTTGGCCACAACTAGCAAATTTTTGTACGGTACATTAGATTAATAGTTCATTTTATTATCAGTTTTTAATGCATTTTAATAATTTTGAAAACAAATTCTTATGTCCATTTTTTACATATTCTCGTTTTGAGTATATTTTTAACTTTTAAGTATTTAATGTATTTTAGTTGAATTATTATTTTAGTACATTGTTATTTGTTTCTCAATTTATTAAAATGCCAAACGCAAAAGGGGCATTACGGAAGATGCATTAAGAAGACAAAGAGCTGAAAGCACATAGTTTACGACGAGATACAGAAAAGGAAGAAGAAACCGTTAGCAGACTGAGCAGGCAAGCACAACGACAAGAAATTTTCCATCTCAAGAAACTGAAGAAGAAACGACTAAAAGTATCACCAGGCAAACACTACGACAAAAAAACTTACGTACCCAATAATGTGAAAAGGCTAGGAGACTCAGCAGGCCAGCACATCGAGAAGAAAACTTAAGCACTCAATAAACTGAAAAGGAAACCAATAGAAGGATCAGCAGACAATCAGTAATTCAAAAAACGTTGCGTGCTCAAGAAACTGAAGCAGAAACGAGTAGAAGGCTTAGCACGCAAGCAGAAAATCAAGAAAATTTTCGTGCTGAAGAAACTCAAGCTAAAAGGAGCAGGAGACTCACCAAACAAGTGGAATGTCAACAGAATATGCATAATGGAGCAACAGAAGAAGTCTCAAGTAGACGAAAGGCACACGACTCTCAGCATAATCGTCAAATTCGAGTGTACGAGCTAGCACAGGATGCCACTAAACGACGAACGCAAGACACCTTCACATAACAGACAAGTCCGATCTGAAGAAAGAATGGCTATACGAGAAGACAACTTCGCATGAATACAACACTACATTCACGGCAGCACTCTTCACAATGCAGGAAGATGTAGATTTGAAATTTACGTTGAGCAACACAGTGCCATTTCAATGGAAGATTCCTGCGATCTCTACAGGGAACTCTTCTCTCCAGGAGAAAGGAACACGGAAGCTACGTGCTCTGTTGTCGCAATGGGAAAATTGTAGAAGCTGAAAGAAGATATCTAGAAGAATGGCGCAATTTAATAAATAGGAACCACCAAGTTCCTCAAGGTGTTTTTGTTAACAGACGTGCTTATAGGTATGTTCTTATTTTTGCTTCCTTGAGCGCCACTACAGAAATATCTACAGGTTCAGGTCCCTATTATTTTAGAATTAATGGTGCCATATATCATCTAGCAAACTACATTCATCTACATCATGCTGATCAAGCCCAGCTGTATACTTTAGATTCGGATCAAGTCTTCAAAAGGTCCAAAGTATTGTTATAGGCGAGCACAGAGGACGTTACAATGCTCCAAAAGAATTGAAGTTGCAGTTGTTTACAAGGATGGAGATGGTGTTCCTCCATGAAACAAAGATATCGTAATACATGCAAGAGGTGTTGGTCTCAGATGTACTGGTACTTTAAATCCTAACTTGGAGCCAATGACATATAGAATTTTCTTTCATCATGATATTCAAGACTTCAGAGTTGGACAGCAGTACACGGAGTAGCATTTATGTAGTCACAGAGTGTCTGCACGACAACATTGGTACATACCTATTTTGTATGGCCGAAAATTGTTAATCAAGGTAACGTAAAGCCGAAATATTTCATATGTAAATAATGCTTCTATATATTTTCGTTTCAGATGCACATAAAACATATAAATTTTGCTTTGGCCTCAAACCGCTCATCTGGCGGGCTCGCCCGCTTATCACCTTTAAATTACCGATAGAAAATATCCGCGCTTGAGGTAAAAATGTTTTTTTTTTCCTTACAGTGTTGCCACTGCTCGTTTTGAGATCTAAGACTTTGTTAATCAAAAATTCATTTATTTCTTCAAATGTAATACAGAGCGGTTATATTTCGTGACAACAATTTGAAAAGTGATATACCATTTAGAGTGATTCAACTCAAAATGCCGTTTCAACAATAATATCCTTTCGGGACTAATGCCTCTTATGAGCTGATAAAATAAAATCCGTTATGAGATGATAACTTACTGACTATTTAAATTTAGCTTGACTGACATATATCTTGAGATTCATTAATATGCAGGAAAAAAAATAGTTTTTGTTTCTATCCTCCCTTGATATAGAGTATTATAACAAATATTCAGTTTTTACAGTTTGCCGAAGGTTGACGGAGCTAGTTCTTAGTTCTTGAATGAAATTGTAATTCGAGCAAGAGCTCCAAATAAAAAATCCGATATATTTTTATTTAACTATTTATCATTAATTTAATAATTTATTAAACATTTATTTATCTCTTTACATTTTATTAAATTTTTTATTTAAATTTAATTATTAGGTGTTTTATGATTTTATTTAGTTGTATATCTATTTATTATTTTTCCCTCTTTTCTAACGGCCTTCCATAGCGCTTAAGCAATTCTAATTTTAGAAATTAATACTTGACTGAGATAATTCATCATTAACAGAATTTGCATGCGAATGATTAATTAGCCCGGAAATGGATTAAAAAACTCCTCTTTTTAAATAATGAAACCAAAACCATACTGAAAGTAAATTCAGGTATTTTCTTTGTATCTTACAGATTTGTTAAGAGTTTTATCTGCTAATGCGTACATGTTCCAGAGTGAAGGAATATTCTTTCTCTGGATGGGTTTCACTCCATATGTTGTCATTTTTAAAGCGGAATATATAAAGGTAAGTATTATGACAGGTAAGATCTATATACATTTCAATTTTTCCAGTTTCAGAATTTCACAAAACAAGAAAGTGAATTTTATAAAAATAGTTTCAATGCTGTGGATGGAAGGATTCATTAAATATGAAATATACCTTTGTGGGTACTGCCAACCGCAGAGCTTGAAAGTTTGTAAATTATTCATTGCATTTAAATTAGTTAAATATAAAAAGTTTAAAGGTCTCGAAGCAAAATTTAATTGGCTTGATCAGAACCTTTAATTTCAAAGAATTCCTGCACGATAAGTTACAACGCAATTTACTACGAAATAAACATTAATATTGGCATTACGCACAGAAAAAAGAAGCATTTCCTAGATACTGTTCGCAATATCTTTTCCCAAACATGCTTCGGAGAGTTTATATACCATGAAAACAAAAATCCTCACTTGGCCTTTATTTTTGCAATCGTTGGTCGTAGATTAGCAGTAGAGAGTGTGTGAGAGAGCGGCATCCTACATCGGTTGCCATATGCTCGCTGCCGAACACTCCATTCGGCTGGCTTCTCGGTGTACCATCTTTTAATCTTTGGTGTAGCAATACATAAATTAGCATTCCTATGTTCTTTGTTTAGTATGCGACCGTTAGTGATAATGTTGTATTAGAACTTCTGCAAAATGTGTCAGTGTTGCTTAATAATACTCCTGTGCAGAAAAGGAAGTAGTACCTTTCTTCTGTGTTTTAAATTGAAATTAATTACTTATATAATTCTGTTACATTTTAGTAGCCTTAAAGATGAATATTAAGACAAAAAAGTGAGGAAAATTTGATTATGTTTTACAAGGATGAATGAATGATAAATATAGTTGCTTAATACTTCCATAGTTATTGCTAAAAAGAATAATCGGTACTATTCCGTTTTCAGGACCGTAAAAAATCGCCTAACTATTGTTGATGCCAATGCAGCCAAAAATAAATCCGGCAACCCTAACGCAAGAAAGGAAGTATAAAAAAAAGATTATTGTTTTAATTTAGATGAAAGGTTATTCATGTAAGACTTTTTATTATTAAATTTTATAAAAAGTTAAACATAACTGAATGGAAGCATAAGAGTAAATAACTGTTCAGATCATTATTATAATTTATAAAGAAAAGGCTTAAACAATTGAATTGATCCTGCATCGCTTTTCGCTAACGATTATCGCTAAAGCATAATTCATCTCGTTGGTTGTTCAAATAATTTTCTATAATGAATGATGCCTTTTCTTGAAAAATTTCTATTGCAACTTTTCGTCCTGGACATTTCCAAATTAAATCCATAGATGTCAGAAGGATTTTAAAAAAAAAAAAAAAAAAAGAATTTAAAATTCAACTAGTATTTCAGTGGCGTCTTAGAAATAGAACTTTCTACTTACAATTGAAATCAGCTCGTACGCTAGATTTGGCGCGCTGTTAAATGGATTCGTTTGCTAAATTTGGCCCTTTTGCGCATACAATTTCGCTGCAATTTTTTTACGGTCCTCAAAACGGAATAGTACCGAATAATCTGCAGAGGTATTTCTTAACTTTGCATAACAAATATTAAACATATCATACACACAATAGTGACTTAAGAAAAAAATAAAATTAATAATCTTAAAGCTCAATGCAAAGTTTAAAAAATGGTTTTAAAAAGCCAATATTAAAATCATGTGCATTGACTGTTCACAGTGCCATTCACAGTGCCATATATTAGTAAAAAAAATTAAACTATTTTCTAACGGGGAATTTATATAAGAAAGTTACTCGCAAATCTCAGATGCACATTTTAATGACTTTAAAAAGAAGACTGAAATTATAATAGGGATACTATCGTGTCAAAAGTATGTGATGTGGTGGATTGAGAAAAAGGAGTGAAAATGTAAGAGCGCAGTTACGTAACGACATTAATATAGATGCTCTTATTTCTCCCTTGAGTTTGATGAATCGATAGATGCAAATGACACAGCATAATTATTTTTTTGTATAGTTTTTTAAGATTATACATCTAAAGAAGAGTTTATTGTGATTTCTTTCAAAGACAAGGACTAGAAGAATTAAACTCTTTTAACAACTTCCGCATTAATTTGAAAGTACTACTTTTTAAAATAATTTCAGTAACAGTAGATGGGTAGAAGCAATAGGCCACATAAAGAGATTTGAAATTCTATACGAAAATGATGATGAATTCTCAAATCTTTTGAGTTATCACTAAATAACTCACAACAAGCTTCGCTCGCAAAAGATAACACACAACAGTAATAATAGACATAGTGTTCAAAATTGTTCAGTTTATTCGAACAACTTCCTTCAAACGGCGTTTCTTCCAGTTGAAATTTAATAAAGAAAACGTAGCATAATTTTTATATATCGACAAAAGGTAAGTAGAAGTAAATTTCTGCAATGATTTCTTGATTTAACTACTGAGATAAAAAAAAGTTTCTCGAAGACAAGATTAAGAATGTGTAAATTTAAATGATGAAACATGGCTCAATGGTCTTACAGATTTTGGATCCAAATTAAGTAATTTAAATCTAGACTTTCAACGAAAGAAAAGACAAGATAGTTATTGAAATAATCCTTAAGATATATGCATAAGAAAAATAATTTATTACACTATTGGAAAACATTCTCCTACGTCCTAGGATATAAGAGCATGTTTACATATTTTTAATTATGCTGATAAAAATTTCTATTTTGTGATGCTGTATACATTTCACAACAGCAAAGGCATGATTTCACTCTTAATAAGACTTGATATTGCTTTAAATTTATTTCTGCCTTCTACCCCATCATTGATTAGTTAAGATACTTTAAAAACACTGCAGGCGGTTATTCATTAAAATTTTATTTAAAATGTCTTTTTCCTAGCATGAAATTTGTCCTTCCATGTTAAATACCATTTCATAGATTATTACTGTAATAAATATACTTGATAGTTATATAGATATTCAAAGGAAACGCTTTATGACTCTAAGAAGATATAATTTCATTGCACGTTGTAAAGACTCACTTGTTTTGGTAACATACACTGTCTTAAGACTCCTATGTAGAATCAAGCGACTTTTCGCTATTTCTAGATAAGTAAATAAGTAAAAAAAAAAAGTACTAAGAGTGTAATAACTTAATAAATGTAATAAAACATTTATTAAGAACTCAATAATTTGAACCGAAAGCACTCCCGGTGCTTAATCAGCCAACATCAATGGCGTAAACTTAAAAGTAGAATTTTAAACAAAGACTAAATCTGAGTCTTAATTAGCCAAAGCCTACGTAGAGATAAACCTACACCGGCGAGACAGCACCATCGGCACTTATGAAAAAACGCTGTACACAGGAATGATGATAATACACTAATGATTAGTAACGTGGCATTCAGCAGGAAGAACATGCTCTGTGTGAAACAACCTCAGAACTTCACTTAATACACTCGAGCAAAATTTGAATTCTGGCAGAAAATCGGAGAAGTGTCATTATAGATTCGTAAGTTAAAATAACTGATTAATTAATATAAATATCTTATAACGCATTAAACTTTTTTTAAAACATAGGAGGTGATTAACAGCCGAGTTGCTGACGATAAATCAAAGGATTACATTGCTTTTCAACCTATGTTAGGAACTGGCTTGCTTACCAGGTACATTCCATTTTATTTCTTAAAACTTAATATAGCAGCCTTCTATGTAAATTATTGACTGCATTAACTATATATACTAGGGTAGTTTAAGGAATTATTATACTGCCTTAAAATAGCCTAGTAGGGGGTGATTTACGGAAAACTCATGTTTTTCTGGAAAGCTTAAATCTGTAGATTTTCCAAAACAATTTATTTCCATAGAATCAATAATAAAATATGTTATTGTGTAATGCTTAATAGAATCTACAGTTTTATTTACTAACTGGCCCATTTAGATGGGAATGGGCTTCATCGATCATTATGATGGTCAAATACTACTTTTCTTCCAACATGTCAAGCACTGCTTGACAAAAAGTGAAACATGTATAAGTTTATACGGATGAAACCCTAGATCTTGGACTAAAATTCTCTTCAGAGTGGTTTGAAACATTCGTAACTCTGCAGACTGCTGCCTAGTTGAATGGTCGAGACATTGCCTCTCTTACTCGATCCACATTTCTCTCGTATTCCGGCGTTTTTGGCTGCGCCAGGTGGTTTCCTTTTCATTAACGAACCAGTTTCAATGTTTGAATACAGTGAGAATTTGACCATCAAAATGAGCGATGAAGCACATTTTCATCTAAACTGACCAGTTAATAAAAAAATTGTAGATTCTACTAAGCATTACATAACAGTTCAATGGTTGATTCTTTGGAAATAATATATTTTTTGAAAACTTTACATAGTTAGGCTTTCCAGAAGAACATGCGTTTTCCGTGACTCAACATGTATTATATACAAATGTATCCTAGTATTATTGTTGGCGTCAGGATTTTTCTCTTACAATTATATACACTATGTGTATCGTTCTGGAGTTAATTATCAGGACAGAGATTCACAACCAGCATCATCAAAATACTTTATTCTATTTGTCTTTAAAAAGTGCATGCTTTTCATCTCTACTAATAAATGGCGCCACACGACGCCTCATTTGTTCAAAGTTCACTTATTCTACGGACGGCGGCACAGGAGCTTCGTCGCTAGTAATCTCTGAGTTCTAGCACAGCATGTGCACAAGTACTTCCATATTATTGGATACAACTTACTCGATTTCTCAAGCATTTAAAAGTCGAGTATAATATTATTGGTAAAGACCGTTAATGGTCGATTGCCTCTTACTAAGTGATAAAACATAGACATAGACATGTAATAAAGATGGCTTCATCTTTCTGTGGGTGATCGCTATTATCATCATCCAAACTGCAATTTCGTTTCTTCCGTTTCTTTTTATACCATGGTGCTTGAAAAATATACCCAGTTCATGTACAATAAGAAATCCTTGAAGGTAGTCTAGGTTACTTGAATGTGACATTGCACACGAAACCTATCTGCCGAAGAGCGAAGAATACCTTCGTAGTTTTCTAAAGTAGTTTGCTTTGCATTCAGTTTACGTATGAAGACAAATCAGGATATATTTCTGAAAATAGTACAAATAAAACGGAAGTAAAGAAACCTAAAAATCACAAATAATGGAAAATATTATAGTCGGAAAGTAATGCACAAATATTATATTGCTTCTAAGTTAATCAACTTTATTTTTAGCCCAATGGTCGTTAGCCCAGAATTTTGCCCCACAAACTCTACTCAGAATGGCTATTAATTTCGTTCTGGCATTTTGCGTTGAAAATTTTAAATGTCGGTTAACTTTTCAAACTGTTGGCAGTAAATATTACAGCCCTGCGTTATATTTAAAGAAATTTAGTAATGAAGAATCTGCATAAATGGAGGTATGTTTCTCGCATTGTGGTAAAACAGCGGTACCTAGAGCCATCAAATTTTGAATAACGTATGCACGAATATAGAGATCTAGAAGCCCAAATTTGGAATTTAATATATTATCTTTTTCATATTTTGTAAACCTTTAGCGAATTTTTGATTAACAAACTCAACGATTTCAAAGCGAGCAATGGCAACACTGTACGAAAAAAAAAATTATGTACTGCGTGTGAGACTGTGTATCTGAAATTCTAAAGATATGCTAATTTTAAAATTATTTTGCGGTATTGTTGTTCACCTGAATTTTATGGTTTAAGAACATGATATGTAATAAATAAAGGTAACCCATAAAACCTTAAAAAAGCGCCCCTTTGGGCGTAATGTAAAATGTGAAAGCTTTCAAAATGCTTTTTCATTTTTTAATAACATTGTTTTTATTAAATAAAAATTTACGGAAGCGTGCATTTTTGTACGAGAGTCAATAAGTAACCATAAATTACATAAATTCATTTTATTGAAACAGATAATTAATTATCTTTCGAGTAAACTGTTTATTACCTTTTATTAATATACAAGTAATAAAGTAATATTTATGGATTTACAGTCAACTCTCCGTTATCCGGTGGCGGACTACGGATTACCAGCTCTGTCTAAAACATGTTTTTTGTTTTGTTTATCGAAAATACCATTAGTATAAAACAAAAAGGAAAACACTATTGAAAACACTAATAGTAGATACTATCCATAGTACTAGAGGTTTAGTATTTTTATCCTATCCTCATCAGTCTCCAATTTAACTGATAATATGCTCTCTGGAAATATACAAGCATTTTGTACGAAACAAAATGTTTGAATTGTCTTTTCTTAATACGAGTTCGAATTCAATAACATTGTTTATGTCCTCTTGTAAATACTGCTCTCAAATGCCATTTATAACTTCATTTCTTTATTTCTAATGATGTTTATTCTTCCGTTATTCATAGTTTGACCTTTTTTTTATTGGATGCATATTTAATTTACGTAACCAAAGGAAAATCTACAGATTAAATTGCCTGAAAATACAGGTAAATTGTAAAAAGCATTTTTCTTAATTATGAAATATATTTTCCTTTTACATATATTTTATTTTAATTTAACCTCGAATTAACGTGATTTTAAATTAGCCCTAAACGACATTCTTACTCTTAAAGGGGAGTTGACTGAACGTGAATGAAAGTTTTTTAAATACTAGAACACAAGCATTCTAAACAGCATTAAGAGAACAACACCTAATTAATAATAGTATTTATTACCATTGTACTGACCGAATCTTGAACAAGTAGATAACTATAAAACTTTTATTCAATAACTCTGTGAATTCAGAAAAAAGGTGCACTTTGAGCTGTTTTAGTGAAAGCATTTAAAGACTTGTATCGTATAGTAAAATGAATTTCGTAATGATAATTATATCTAAAAGCTAATTTATTTTGTTAACCGTTTTCAGCGGCGGCAGAAAATGGCGAAATAGAAGGAAATTAATTCAGCCATGCGTCCATATGAGAAACGCGGAGAACCTAATTCCTATATTCAATGAACATTCATTGGTGCTCGTGGATAAGCTGAAGAAAAAAGTAAATAAACCATTGGTTGATGCTGAAGATATAATAGTTGCATGTACAGTGGATATAATCTTTCGTAAGTATTTCGGATATTAATAAGAAAGGGGATATTAATTTCATAGGATATTAATAAGAAACTCCATTTCTATGAAGAATACCAATTTATCAATATGATTTAAAGTAATACATTTTATAATAATGCAAGCAAATTCTTTCATTTTATGAAGAAAAATGAGATTTTTTAAGAAATTACTTTGCCACTTTAGAATTCTAAAAAAAGTCTTCGGCAATGTAATTGCTAATGAAATCTTTGCTTCAAATTTAAAATATGAGGTTGTAAGGATCTTAAGTTTTACTAACGTTTATTTTATTTTAAATCTTTACTATCACTTCTTATTTTTCTACTTCCGGCCAGAATTATAAGCGTGAAGGAGTTTTTATGCAAAGTTTGTCTGGCGAACGCCAAGTATTTAAGTGTGTGGCCTTTTTGCCAAGCAGAAGAGAGGAAGCAGTGAGTTCGAAGCAGGCCGCTTACCTTAGAAGTTACGCAGTTGCTATTTGCCTTCCAGGCCAGAGGTTTTAATCCTCTTGATAAATTAAACGTATTGTAGTGTTCACAGTCTCTGTGCTACATACGCTTCCTGTTATTATAAGGCCAATCTTCCATTCTAAAGTTAAATTAGAGTTTAGTTTTATTTTTATATCTTTTACGTTAGACCCCGAGTGGAGGGTCATTGTATTCCGAAGTACGGAAGTTATTGTATATAAGAAAAAAAATAAAGGGTTTTGTATACCCTTCGTCTGTATCCTGTCTACTTACCCACAATTAGTGAACATAGCTTTAGTAAGCTCTCTGTTCCGAGTCAGGTCCTTGTATGTTTCCCGAAGAAGGTTAGAAGAAACATTGAACCTGATAGTGGCGCCCAACGAAGAAGAATAACCATGGCCGAGTTTCAAGAAGAACCTGTGCTGCCTGCAGAAACGGCTCAGAATCCAGAAATGCCAGCTGCCGCCCTGGAAGGATTTGGGTTACATCGTCCAGACCATGCGCGCTTCGATGAAACCAGAAGCAACATTTAATGGAAACTCACCGGTAACCAGTTTTTTGGAAAAATTGGATGACCACTTCATGCTCTACCCCGTGCACGAGTTTCAAAAAGTTACCTTAGCTACCAGCGCTTTGAGGGGCCAAGCGCTTAACTGGTTCAAATGTATAGGCAGAAGTCTCTTGGGTCAAGCAGGAAGTCCCACCTATACTTACGAAAATTTCAAGACTGCCCTACTAAAAGCCTTCCCTGTTGTAAGGGATCGTGCGAAATTAGAAACGGAACTTTTCAGTATATATCAACAAAGAATCGAAAACCTCTCGAGCTTTATTTTAAGAAAAATTCACGTTTTCAAACTCTTGTATGGAAACCGTCCGGATCCTGAAATAATTCAAGTGATTTTGCCGAGGTTACTGCCCCAAGTGCAAGACTTTATTGAATTAAGAAATCCGACTACACTGGAAAAGTTATTTGAGCTAGCAATCCAGTTTGAAAGTAGAAGAACGGCGGACGTCGAAAGAAGACGCCAATATCAACAGCGAAACCAATTTGGTACGCCAAGACTACAGCAAACTCAAGCACACGGCTACGGAGAAAAAGCGAATCAGTGGGCAAGGAAACCCGAGCATTCAAAAACAGCCGGCGAACGTCGACAGTTCAATAGCAACCCAGGAAAAAAGTCTCAAGGCCAGTGGAAAAAGAAGGAAAGCACGGAAAGGAAAAATAATTTAAACTAAAACGGATTTCTGCTGACGAGAGGGTGCGGAAATCCGAAGGCCACGAAAACCCCTCTTCCTACAAGTTAAATACAGTAATGGTGAAAAATTTGACTCTTCCGAAGATTGAAGTCTTGGTGAATAATATCCCAGCCACCGCACTCCTGGATACCGGCGCGCAGTGTTCCTGTGTGGCAGAAGATTTTTTTAGGAAGTATTTTCGCAAATACCGCATATATAATGCGGATAATACGACAGTGTTAGCGGCGCAAGGAGGTAAGTGCGTAGGTAAAGTACCTTTGTATATCCGTATCAAGGACGAACAAGTAAAGGTGATGTTTTTTATAGTAAAGAATCTGCAAGCACATTTAATCTTAGGAATAGATTTTCTTTCAGACGCACAAGCTACGCTGGATTTTAATGAAGCGTCCCTTAAGCTGACGATGAAACCAGTTCGTGTAGAAAAGGCTTGAACCGCCGATGTTAAATCTTGACCACCTGCCTAATGACGAGCAAGATAGAATCCGACAAGTGGTAAGTGAATTTGCTTCGTTATTTAGTGATATTCCAGGATTTACTCAGGTTACTAACCATAGTATTGACACCGGAGATTCAATTGCCAGTTCGTCCAAAAACCATACCGGTATGATAAGAATAAGGAAAAAATTATAGAATGGCATATTACCGATATGCTACGTAAAAAGATCATAACGCCCATCTCAAGTAGTTATGCTAGCCCGGTGGTTTTATGTAAGAAAAATAATGACTTATCCTTTGGACACATCCAAAAAGGTGGAGATTCGCTATTGATTACCGTAAATTAAACTCCATAACTAAATATCCGGTATATCCGTTACCGATTATAGAAGAAATTTTAAGGAACATAAAATCAACCAAATTTATGACGACTTTAGACTTAACGACTGGTTATTTTCAAATAGGGGTTAGGCCTGAGGACGTGCCTAAGACTGCTTTTATAACCAAGTCTGGCACTTATGCATTTTTGCGTATGCCGTTTGGCCTTTCAGGGGCCCCGGCAACATTTCAGCGATGCATGGACATTGTGTTAAGACCTGTTCTTGGAAAGTCCACATTTATCTATTTAGACGATATCATTATTACTAGTGATAATCTCGACCAACATGTACAGGATTTAAGACAGGTGTTTTCTTTATTAAATGAGGCCGGTCTAAAAGTTAATGTCGAAAAGTGCAAATTTGCAGCCCCTGAATTAAAATATTTAGGTTACAAAATATCTCAAAAAGGGATCGAGACAGATGAATCAAAAATAATCGCTGTACAAAAGTATCCGACTCCAAACACGGCAAAGAAGCTCTCTTCTTTTCTAGGACTTTGTTCATATTATAGGTCCTTTATAAAAGATTTTGCAGGCTATCGCTGAGCCATTGTTAAAATTAAAAAGGAAAAAGGCAAGATTCTCGTGGACGGCCGAAGCCAATAGTGCTTTCGAAAAATTAAAACAAGCATTAACGCAAGCCCCTGTGTTGAAATTTCCTGAAAAGGATGAGAATTTAGAAATTTCAGCGGATGCTTCGGATTATGCGGTAGGAGCGGTACTTTCGCAAAATCAGCAGCCCGTGGCATTTTTTAGCCGAACTTTAAATCAAACACAAAGAAACTATTCCGCGACCGAGAGAGAGGCACTTGCAGTTCTGTTAGCAGTGCAAAAGTTCCGAGTCTATTTTGGAAAGGCGCCGATAACAGTGTACTCTGATCATGCGGCGGTAACTAGATTGTACTCAGGGAAAAATTTATCCCCAAGGTTAATAAGATGGGCACTCAAGCTGCAAGAATATAATCTGGTAATCAAGCATACCCCCGGAAAGGAAAATATCGTAGCAGATGCCCTATCACGAATTAAAATAGACGAACAAGGAAATACCGTAAAGGTGGCAATGCTAACAGCATGTACAATAAATTCCCGAGAAACTGTAATAATCGAACTGGGTAAGGATCCTGAGTTTGGAAGCATTTATGAGTATTTGAAAGGATCCTGAAAATTTTAGCCACCAAGATATTGTGGCGATAAGAAATAGGGCGGCCCATTACGAACTAATAGATGGTCTATTATTTTATACAAAAACTACGAATTCCAACAACGAATTTCGACCTGTTATCCCAGCTAGTCTTAGATTAAATATCCTGCAGGAGCTCCATGACAGCCCTTTAGCTTCTCATGCTGGTATTCGAAAAACTATCCAACGCGTACGCGAGGCAGTCTACTTTCCTGAACTGCAAAAGTTAACAAGGGCGTATGTCCAGTCCTGCCCAACATGTCAAGCAGTTAATTATATTAATTTCCGCCCGGCCGGGTTTCTAAATAGTATTAAATCCGAATTTCCAAATGAAATAATTGGCATCGATTTATTGGGCCCTTTCCCAAAAAGTCAGTTAAATAAAAGTCGCTATCTCCTTGTTATGGTTGATCATTTTAGTAAATGGACCGAAATTGTTCCCTTAAAACGAGCCTCCGCGAAATTAGTTACTGATTCTATTTTAAATAAATATATTTTAAAATACGGGGCGCCCCTAAAAGTTATATCGGATAATGGTCCTCAATTTGTAAGTAATATATTTGAAGACATGTGCCAAAAACTGGGCATACGTCATTTAAAAATGGTCCCGTATCGGCCGCAATCAAATATAGCGGAACGGGTCAATAGAAATATAGTGAAAATTATCCGTAGTTATGTTAAAAATTTTCATAAAAGCTGGGATAACTATGTCAATGAATTTGCTTTCGCCCTTAGGACCGCAAAACATGATACAACGGGCAAAACTCCTGCTGAGTTATTTCTAGGCAGAAAGATTATAACACCGTTAGATAAATTATTTTATGTGCAACAAAGAGCCCCAGAATTTAAAATGGGTGATATAGAAAAACTAATTAAAGAAGCAAAAAAGAATACGGAAGTAGCACAAAGAAAACAGAAAGCTTATTATGACTTGAAACGACGGGGAGTAACTTATAAAGTAGGGGATGAAGTTTTAAAAATTAAGCATTCACTTTCTTCAGCACCAGAAGATAAAACTGCCAAATTTTTTCCACGATTTGAAGGACCATATGTTATAGAAAAAATAACTCACGCTGTTGTAGTGTTAAAAGCCAGAAATGGTGAAACCTGCTTCCGCAAACATTGATCAAATCAAACCCTACTATCGATCGTAATAAAATGCAAATCTTTTCAGATCTTTTGCAGGATCCGGCACGGCAGACACCGCAGGCACAAGCTTCCAGAGGTGGAAAAACGACAAGTACAAGGGCAAGCCAATGAAGAGGCAGGAGCAAGTGA